TTCACAACTCTTACACAATAGAAAAATTATTCAATATATATTAGATAATTTTTGTTTGTTCGTATTTTATATACTGTCATACCGTTCATCATTGCGCTAAAACAATTGTCAACTTATTGATTCCACTTGAGCGAAGGTTATAGGCATAGTACAGTTAACTTACAATAGGTGGCGCTTATCGTACTAAAAAAATATTTGATAGTTATACATCAATCAACTTCAATTAATGTATTATCATTTTTAATTAAACAATGTTATAACTATTCTAAATTTAAAAGGATATTTCGAGAATTATTTCTTCCGTAACAGCAACGCACCGGGTACCAGCTAGTTATTTATATTAGGCGTGCAGCCAATAAGTAATAGATTTATTATCTATATAATGTGTACTGAGAAAGCAGAGATTACTGTCAATCTGACTGTACATATAAATTTCACATCCGCCATCAAGTTTGTATCGAGTAATATAAATTCACATAAAAATATTAAGAGAACTACATAAAACTTCCTGGGATTTTATTCAAAATGTCATACGTCCTTCATCGGCACCTGTGTAAAGGCACTATTATAATAAAGCTTAATAAAATTACTTAAGAAGCGAACAACTTCACGCCTGTTAATAAAAAAGTAGTATGCAGGGCCTTGATAATTGCCATAAAGAAAACTTCTGTTCATTGTGCACTATTTGTTTAAAAAATAATATAATATACATACAATGTAACCTAAACAAACATCTATGGAGATAGTAGTCACATTTTATAGTCCGGCTCCGATCACTAGATGCACTAAGGCCAAAACGTGCTAGATCTATCTGCTCATTAATTCCAATAGCTAGCTTTTTTAAGAGTCAACATTTTTTTAATATCTCAAAAATGTATCAATATCGGACCCGTAACTGGGCAATGTAAAAGTTTAGCACATTTTCGTTTGCAGCAATTATCATGACCCAAATAGAAATACAATGAATGGACGGCACTGTGTACACACATGATGTAAGCACATATATAACGTGATTATATAAAATACACATAAATATTCCTCATATGCTCATATAAATACATAAAGAACTGTGAAACATACTTTATTACGTATAGATAAAACAAAAATAAATTGCCGTGAAAATATTTCACGAAAATCGTCATAAACCATTGAGTTATATGTACTACGTACTAGAGAAGCCATTCCGAACAAAAATTGTGTCCTACTCTATGTCTTCGCGCATGCGCGGGAGTAGTAGTCGCGCATGCGCGAAGACTTTAATTTAATATAAAATAAGATATTAATAAATATAAAATAAATATAAGAATTTGATATAAAATATCTTAATTTAATCTAAACAAACATATTTCTAAATAAAATGTAATAATAATTATTTTATGGAATTCACAAATCTTCAATTTACGCAATATTTAGTTTAGTGTGCGGATTGCAGTACAGTTCAGTTGAACATAGTCAATGTTCGGAATGGCTTCTCTAGTACGTAGTACATATAACTCAATGTCGTAAACATATTTATTTTTATATTTTATACACTTCACACGTAAATTCTTTTTTTTTAATTTAATGTTTATACTAACTACATAAAAATAGTATGTTGTAACTGCACTTTTAGAAAATTAATTTTAAAAAAATTGCTGTCGCAAATACAAACATGTATATTGTATACATTTGGTAAAAATATATACTTTCTTTATATATTTTCAACAATTGCACTAGCTTAAGGCAACGGGACTCACGCAGTTTCGCTTCCGGAGGAACTAAAGAAATCTTAATTTATATTTTGAGATCAATTATATCTTTACTTTCGGCTGCGTGTCGTCCCAATTTGGTTGTTTATAAGACACGTTATGTGAGTTCGAGATTATTTTGAAGGGTAAGTTTTGCAGTAACTACGTTTTCTTTATCCTGTTCATTAATCATTCATTAAAATGCAAATTTATTGTTACTTAACTACAAATACAATCAGAAATAAAATTATTTAAATTTCCATAAACAAAATTAAAACGATAAAATTTACAGGAAAACTCTTTCAAATGGCACAATTTGTACTATAGTACAGTCATTTACAAAAATATGTAATATTTAATACATAAAAATCTACAACAAACCTGTATTTTAAATTTTTATTCACTGTGTAATGATAAAAAAAATTAATAGACGTCATAATTAAATAAAAATGATTCATCATTATCATCATTACAAACCCTTCTTTTTTCACAAATCCACTACCAAACATGGCCTGTGTTTGAGTTCTCCAAAGAATGACACAAAACTAGGTATATTCATGTGCAAAATTAAAAATACATCATGGACAGTCTGCCTAATCATATCCTATTACTTTCCTCCTATAACACATTTTTGTGCCTGACTGTACTAATAAACTAAATAACAATACGAAAGTAGCACGATAATGTATCTCAATTTAAAATCGAGACCATCTACAACACATTCCATGTCACACCATGTTACATTATAATTAGAAATTGATATTTACTTACAGTTAACAATAATTACATAATAAAGAACACATATACTCCGCTAAAACTAGATCAAGAAAATTAATGTGGCCCCATTACACAACATAATTTTTGTTTTATCGTCAATTTACCCAATATATACAATAGCTGAAACTTTATAAATGGACCTGTTTGTAATTGAGAAATTGAACAAAAAGAACGTGCATAGGAAAGTTGGAGATACAATATGTTACACTGCTAATTAAGACTTACCCATAAAAAAAATTAAACATTCATTACCTTTAACCATGCTCGAAACGCCTTGCTTTTTGCAAGTCGTTTGCTGGTAACGCCTCGCCTTAAAATTGTATACACATGACTGACAAAGCTAGCGGCTAGGTATTCAAATTTATGAGGTTACAGGAAATCTCTACAACGGGCAAAATCTTAATATCCAATCACATATAAAGAAAATTTTGACTAATTTAATATTCTTTATTATTTTTGTACCTCCTATAACAATCTATTTATATTCTGTTCATTCATTAATTAAATTATGTTTTTTTTTTTAATGATTGTTTATACATATGATGGCAATAATAAACACACTATTACCTCAGGCTAACAAAGAAAGATAAACAGAACAATATGTACTTTTTGTGGGACACCAAATCAATATGTACTTTTTGTGGGACACCAAATCCATGCTCAATTTTTTTTATAGCTGTCATAGATTGTATGGTGTATAAGTTGTGAGTGTACATATACACTGTCCTTCAATTATTGTTTCTTTTTTTTTATAGAATAAGGGTGACAAACGAGCACAAAGTCCACCTGATGTATGTTAAGTGGATGCCGTGGCCCATAGACATCTACATCTATCCTTGATTAAGAACCAAAATACTGATGCGTTGTCACCCCTGAAGACTAAGATGGAATGCCTTGATTCTTGTAAAAAACGTCTCCGGTTCACACTTACCATACGAAACACAGCAGCATTGAGCTGCTATTTTAAGCTGGTATTATGTGAGAGCGTGGTCTTTCCCCGGTCAAGCCGACCCATTCATGCTACAACCATAATATTGCTGCACCGTGGCTCTACCACGTACTTATTGTAAGACCATGCACCCACACACATGCGACTACAACCATGTTGTTGGCTGCAAATAATTTTAGGTGCATATGTGAGAGTGCTCGTTTAATAAATTGATGATCTTGGCAATTTGTTGGAATGATTTAGGCGTCACGTAAACGTACCTAATATTCTGTTTATCTTACAAAAACTGGTCTGTAAGATTTGACTTTTGCTATTGCTAATTTTATAGAATTTTTATATAAAATCGAGTTGATTTCGAATCAATAAAAAAAACGAACATTATCGCAATTCCCAAATGTTCCAGGCTTCATAGTGTGTTCCCAATTTATTTACAAAAACGGATTTTAATATAATTTTGTTTTTTTTTTATCCTTTTACAATATTTAAATTATATTGATTTAAATCAGATAAAAAATATAATTTAAATGCACGATAGAACTTTGCTCTATGAAATAGATATAGAAAATAAAAATAGATTTATATGATTTAAATATTTTGTTTTACTAAATGGAGCCACAAATCCCATAATTCTTTGTTAAATAACTACCATTCACAATTACGGCGTAATAAGCATTTAATATATAAATGTATAAGAATGTTGTATACATCCTATATAGTGAAATATTAATATCATGTTTATTATAAGGTTTTGTATTGTTTTAAACACACACAGAAAGACGAAATATTAAACTGATCTAAATATTATCCATACGTGGTATATTAATGCGTACAAAAAATACGTTTTCAGTCGTACACATTCATTGTACATTTTATTTTTAAATCCTGCATATGATGCCACAAAAGTAACTTTCAATCTAGCCCCCAACTTTTCGTCATAAAACCTTATGTACACCAAATAATATCGTTTACCTTGTCATAAACATTCACGAGTATAATCACTTCCTAACATATATGTCTTTATATTAATTACAGTTACACTAAATACGTCTTACGTTTAAAATTCACTTGGACACATAATTTGAGCTAAGTCATTGAAAGAAGAATAAATGTTGGGGCTCGAAACATATGTGTGTAAAATTGAATTGCTTTTAAGCTGTTCCTAAAAATGTAATATTTGTAAACTGTTAAAAATAATTTTCATTTAACTCTGAATAAAATATTTGGAACCATGACGGAAACCCACATAAACATTATATGTGTTAATATGAAATTTTTTAACTACCTTAAATTAAAATTATAAATGCATTGTAAAATGTATATTTTATTTATATCAGAGGTAATAGAATTAATAGATTACATGATCAATTAAATTTTGGAGTAATTTTAGTTAGCCATAAGCCTTGCCTCCGAACACCAAATTAGTTTTTAGTAACAGACATTCCGTCATGATTCCAATACCAGAGTGCACAGAATATTTCAATGAGATTATCGAGTTATTATCAAAATACAATACGAAATACGGTGGGGCTTGGTGTATGTAAATTGCGCTAAGACACCGATGAGATAGCATTATGCGGAGAACCCATTTGAGTGAGAACTTTATCCAGCCACTGCAGTGGACCGTGGAGGTGTATTTCAATCCAACAAGGTGTCGACGTCACATCCTGTCGATGGTACTCCGCCCCCCATCCCTTAACGAACGACATACGAATAGTACACATTTTAGTCAACTCATAAACTGCTTCGAAACCGTGATTGACACTTTGCGAGAGCAACTGAGCGAACTCTCTGTTGTTGAATATCTTCAGTGAACACCCTGGGGGTATCTTGCATACAGTAGACGGGTGGAAGCCATGGTGATGGTTACAGTTGCGACTTTGAACAAAAATGGCCGCGTCAGACAAGCACTCGGCGTACACCTCTCCCCCCACATAGTACAAATGCACTCCCTTCCCTATGTGACGTCTAGTATTCTCTATTGTGGAGTTTCTATTCACGTTACTAAGTTGACCAAGGCAAAATCTGTCGCTGTTGTTCGAGGGATCAGTGAAACCATCCACGACTACCGAATGAGAATTGCAATGGAACACTTCGCCTACCCTACAGTTAAGTTCATAATAAGCTACCGATGCCCAATAAAGTGGTTCTTGGTAAGAAACTGGTGCAACTTCCCCGGGGGGTTCCGTATCGTCTGAAGGTGGGGAGTACGCTGGCGGTGGGGTATCAGGTAGCTCTGAAGAGGCTGATGGCGGAAAACCGGACCCTGAATAAGACACATTGTGGGGCATCGCCGGTTCCGTAGTCCTCTGGAAAGGCAGCAAGGAGTGCCCTGGTGCAAATTCAGAATGCCTCGGAACCAATACTGGGGGAAGGACAGGACTCTCAACCCTCTTATAATGGTAAGGGTTTATGCAAACCTCTTTCTGTTTAGCGCTGAATGGATACTGACAAATTTCTAAAGGTTTCAGCTCATGATGGCTCTGCAGATCAGGCCAGCGCCACACACGGCAGTATATCACGTGTGGGAGGCCTTTACGGTGGGATACCTGAAAGTAAGGATAGTCATCTTATATATATCAGATGTAAAGTAAAAAAGCGGGCAATAGTGTGATAGTTGCAAGCCATTCAGTACTGTTACACCCTGTCAAAAGTCCACAGCCGAACATGGGCCTCCCCCATACATAGTCTCATAGGAGGGATATTTGTCATAGTTACTTGGCAACCGGATTGGCAATAGCAGTTTTTTTATCTTAGTTATTACTATTAGGAAGATGCTGCTGCCCATCTCCTGGATTGTTTACCTCGTTCACTTCCTACAACACTACACGCACGGGACAATTTGGGATAGTTGATATTCTTACACCGTCACTACACATTCAACCATTCAGTAAGTTATATCCTAAATATGTCTCACGGCTGGATAAAACCTTCCTCTCCTTCTGAGAAAGCTTTTAAGGAAGGAAGAGTCCACCGCGCTGTTCAAATGTGTGTTAACGGGCTTCAAATTTCTTCAAAATATTATTCTTTTTCTATTTCTGAGATATGCATTTTTCCTCATGTTGGTTTCCTTCACCACTAAGCATGTGGTAAATTAAGCACTAAGGATCAAACCCAGGTTGCTCTCGTACTGTGCGATTTATGGCGTTCGCTTAGCCCCTGGTCTACCATGGTTCAAACCATGCAGTACTTATGATAAAAAATGTATGAGCAACACTTTTGTAGCTCACCTTTATTTTAAGCTCAAACAACAACTACATTCTTCATCATGGTTTTAAAAAACATTATACAATGCACTTAATTGATTTGTGTCTATAGACTTAATCCTTATATCTGACGCAAGTCAGTAGTGCAGTGGCTAAATGTTTAGAGACGGCACTACGAACCGCGAGTTCGAATCCAGCATGGAACTGTATCATAGTTTTTCTTCAATCACTTAAATATACCTTTTCTATCACAATCTATTCTATTCCATTCTATTGTGATGTTAACTAACATCTGCAAACCAAGCATCACTAATAACCATACAAGTCTAATTAAATAGTTGAATTAAATTATTATGTGACATATTATGGTTGTGGCACGAATGGGTCGGCTCCCAAAAATGGATGCGCGCCCTCATAGAATACCAGCGTGAAAGATGAAAACATATCTCAATTTTGATACTTAATCGAGGATAGAAGTATATGTCTGTGGGCCACAGGATCCACTTACACACACCATCAGGTGGACCTATGGGCTGTTGTTTGTCACCTTAATTCTATAAAAAAAATGGTGAAAAAAGCTTAAGATATACCTGTAACCGTCCATCGAGTGATCGGGGAATAGTTACACACTTGGACGGTGTTCCTGGACAAGACAGTGCTCTTTCAAGCTCCTCTATAGCACCTTTTCTCTTTTTTAGCTTCTTCACCAAGCTATCCACAGCTTTCTCTGCCCATTTCTCTTCTTCGTCACCCTGAAATCAAAGTTTTAAAATATGTAGCTCACATTTCATGGTCACAATATAAACAACATATTTTGCCATATAGTGGCATTGTAAGAATATTAACTATTTCATATCCCGTGGGTGTCTTAGGAGAAGACCGAGGAAAACAAACCAGAGAAAGATGTACAGCAGCATCTTAATAATAACTAAAAAATAAATAACCGCAGTTGCCAAGTGTGGCAGCTATGGCAAATGAGGCAATAAAATGAGTGAAAAAAGTCTACGTCGAGGCCTATGTTCAGCATTAGCCTTTTGATAGCCTGTAACGGTAACAGTGTAGTGAAGGCGTATTTAAAAGAATTTATTACCCCATATTAACACGTGGGTGTCATAAGAGGCGATGGGGTCTTATTGATAAAAACTCAAAATTTGTATTTGGAAAACCCAAAAGTGCACGCCTCATGAGTGCTTCATTTAATTTTTGATGAAAAAATTAAAATAGTGTAGTAGTAAATTTTTACAAAAAAAAAACAGATAATCTGATTGACTTTCATTAATAACTTTTAAACAGTGAGTTCAATAACAAAAATCAATAGGGATCCTCCTTACAATGCATGGAATCTTATTAAATACTATATATCTCAATATTTTGGTTACATTTCTATTAAGCGAGAAGACTAACCGACGCACAGACCAACGGATGGCAGTCCATATATTTTTTCAATTACATTTTTTGTTATGTAATTTAAAGAGAATCAATTACAAAATAAACAAATCTTATAATTCAATGTCTGTAATTATTGTAATGTTATTAATAATATCTAACCTATAATAGTCTAGCTAAAAGTATAAGACCAATTTTATGTAGTAAAATTGAGGTCTGACCACATATTACGAATAGAGCACTCCCTCATGTTGTGAGGTGTGCATGACAACCATGGCTAAATCTATGGGGGAGGCTTATGTTCAGTAGTGGACTTTTTAACTCAATAAGTGTTGAATAATAAAACTGTTACATAAAGCATGCAAAAGCATCTATATATTACCATATTGTGTACCTATATAAGCAATTCTTAATGAGTCACAAGTTCTCAGAAGCAGAGTGATTGCACGCCAATAGACTGACTCATAATAAATCAATAATATCCTGTACACAGTTCAAGTTATTTTTGGCTTAGAGCAGGTGTCAAAAAAAAACGAATATAGGTCTCATTATTCAATCATTTTATTTTAAGCACTTCTTTTTAAATCTATAACATTTCTTTATTTAAAAAAATGAATCTATAGTTTGATGATTCTATGCCAATGTCAATATTGAGGAATACAAGGGGATATTAATAAAAGACTGTGGCAGTGTATTTTGACTACTAGTTTCTGGGACAATTTCATACATAAGCCAAGAAGTTAAAGAAAGGAAAAATCACTGAGATTAGTTACTAGATTTCAAATTTAATATAATATATAAGGCTTTTAATAAATTTAAGATTAAAATTAACACTACTATATTTATGAACAACAATTATTATTATTTTATGTTATTTATATTCATATTTATAATTATTGAGTTTAATAAAAAGGAAACATGTGTTGAATATTAGAAGGTAGGCTCTCATAGAATAGTTACTCTATGCGTACCGTCAACTAGGCCATAACTCTCATCAACAACTATCTTTCACATGCGCTTTCCTAAGAAACAGGTAAGCAGGCATGATCAAGGTGTAGTCTTATTATAACAGGTATTATTAGTTTACTAGTTTTAATGCCCTGAGAACCACTTCCTGACAAGTAGACTGGGCTAAATGGAAACGAAGAATTTTTCTCGACAGTCTGGAAGATTGTCATCTATTATTCCAATCATCCATCATGAGTAGTTAAGCTACAACATGCAGATCCTGAGCAAAACTGAATTCCATCTGACGTCTTCAATGCCTTTGATACCACAATGAACATCTAAAGGAATCCAAACAAGAATAACCTTATTACCAGTGCAGTAACACTTATAAGAGAAATTGTCTTATTTTAAAGTGATGAAAAAGTTGTGTTTGTGTAAAAGTTAAATTGATTAGAATCAAATGCTTATTTATATTGTGGAATTCTACATAGGAAACTACTTCCACAATAGCAATTAATTTTCCTGGAAGAACTGAGTACTCCGAAGGACATTTAAATCTTAAAATAATTTTATATTTAGGGATCTATGTTGCCACACCAACTCTACCATTATTGCCTTGTTTTGAAGCATCTGTGAATATCTACATCTAAAACATATCAAGCACTTTGCCAAGTCCTAATCTCATTAAACAGTTTATCTGCACAGTCTTCAGCCATCCTTGTCAACACCCAGGTTCAGGAACACATTGGGTTGGAAAAAGAGTGTGTTGCAATGTAATAGAAATTAAGGATTTTTATTAAATTTTAGGATAGGAGTGAGAGTAGATTGGTGTGCATTAAAACTTTTTAGCAGAGGAAGATCATTGTGGATCCTCAGAGCAAGAACATGCACCAGAGGATGAGAAAACGTTTGCATTATATTAGAAAAAATCTATCGGAAAGTAACAACAAATGAAAAACAAAAACAAAAGTCCAAAGACTAAAGGTGGTTCTTGATATTCAACTTGAAGTGTGGCTATTGGGGATGATCTAATGATCAGACCCTGTTAGTTTGCAGAGAGCAATTTTACTGCAAAGTTCTATTATAAATCTAGCATAGTCAAAGTGGCTGGGAATTATTGTATTATAGAACATTTCTTGGTAAGATGAATGAGGGCCCTATCATTGTCATCATCATTATTGCCCTTCACAAGTCCTGAACATAGGCCTCTCCCAAAGAATGCCACAAAGCACAGTCCTGAGCCACCTGCATCCAAAAACTTTCTACATGTCTTACCAGGTTGTCACTTCATATAGTGGGAGGTCGCCCTACACTTTGCCTACCGTTACAAGGCTGCCATTTGAGAAACTTTTCCCCATTGGTTGTCAGTTCTTTGAGCTATATGGCTGGCCCATTGCCACTTTAGCTTACTAATCTTTTGGGCTATGTCGGTCACTGTGGCTTTATTGTGGATATCCTCATTTCTAAATTTATCACACAGATAAACTCCCAGCATAGCCCTCTCCATAGCATTTTCCTCACACTTCCTAACCACAGTTCATGTGATGAAGACCAAACATATGGGTATTGAGAATAACACCTAGAAATTTAACTTTATCTTTCATGGAAATGGGTTCATTATTGATTGAGAGACCTATGCAAATGTTCAGCTTACATGTTAATAACATTGAAACACATTTGGGTATAGGGAGAGAGGCCATGATCATTAAGCTAATGGTGTAGGTACTGCAAGGCAGAATTTAGAAGGCAGAATGCTTCCACTGTAAGTAGGAGAGCAGATATATAATGCTATGTCATCTGCACATTGCAAAATTTTACAGAAGCAACTTACAGAGGAGTCAAGATCCAAAGTGTAGATGAACTTTTCAAACAAGGCGATTTGGGAGGGAAGAACCAGAGACGGAACGAGATGTGAAGAGGTTGAAAATTATGATTTTTAACTATGTCAATCAACCTCACTGGTAAACTTAGTGAGTTTGATTTTATACCTGAGTAGAGGAAGTTGGACATTATCATATGCTGGGAAAACATCAAGGAAGACTCTAATAACATTCTCATTACATTAAACAAATTATACGATTATACAAAAAATAAATAATTTTGTTCATTTTCTCGAAATCCATGAGTTTCCAAGTGCTGACCTTTATATATGTGTTTTATTAAAGTACATCTTTCAAACAGTCATCATTTTTCTTTTTTCAAAAGGTTGTTAATCTAAAGATGAGTCCATAACTGATTCACATTTAGGGTTATGTACATCAGCAATCAAATTTTCCAGAGACCATCTTATAACACAACTCTAAAAAGGAGTAATTGTTTGCTGTTAAATACATTGTCAAATATGTTCCTAATTTACAATGGCTTTTTAGGGTTCAAACTGTAGAATGGAATACTAAGATAATATTGTTGTGAGAAAAATATCCTATTTCTAAAATTTATGTAAGGATATAAAGAGCTTAATATGAAGGCGTCTTTAGAGTCATAAATAAAGTGTATACATATTGCAAAACATTAAAAAGTAACTTGATAAAAAGTATACTTGACATCTGCAATAAAAAGTTTTATATACTTTTTTTATTATTCAATTAAAATGATATAAAATAAATATTAACTAACAAATTCACTGTTCTTTGGACTACATGTTTTTGCATTTGTTATTTTACACTGAAATAAGAACATTTCATTTTACATTTTACTATGGTAAGTACTTTTAAAGAAACTATAACTACAACGCATCATATTCAAGACATTACCTGTTTCCAACCAAGCAATTTCTTGACAGCGGGACTTGTAAAGGAGAAAAGGCTGTTCAGACTCGACATAGGACCACTGCTGGAAGATTCACCATCATCGGTGTCCATAGTGATGGCTGTACGGGAACTTCGATGAGTCACCAAAACTATGGGGAGACCGCCAATTACTGTACCTAGAAAAGCTCAATCGGCCATCGATTAGCTTGGTATTCCCCACAATATCCTATACAATCACGAACACTACAAAATAGCAATTAGCGTGACACTAGTGAATGACAGATAAAAAAAATAGGCAGCGTTCATTTTCTTTATGTTTTTTTTCTCAGGTAATGGACCCGGAAGGCTGTACTTTCGCCCGTGTCAAGTAATAAAAAATTACCTTAGAGTATACATAAGCAAACTATAAAGTGCGCGTATTGCACATCGTCACTTATGCCAAGCTTAAGCAAATGTTCTATAGATATTGATACATACTTCATATATATATACACATCATATTAGCTTGTGGTGTTGTTATCGCAAGGAGATTGTAAAATATAGGGAGTGCGAACTTCATACTAGAGAAACGTTCCTAAATCAGTGACCTTGAAATGAATGAAAGGCACCGAGTTAACCGTTCCATTTCTTTCTAATAGAGTGTCCATGATACAATATTTTGAGTATATTAATAGTATATACAGCATTACGGAAAACGAAATGCGTATTTTTTTTTTCAATATGGAAAGTGCTGAATAGTGTTATAATTAAACTCCGTTTAATATTTTGATTACATGATTGCTTCGCTACATTATCAAACCTTACGGTGAATAGTGGCGGCTTAGCGTGGGTTGACGACACCCAGGGCGGTTTTTTATCAAGCACCTCCCAAAGTAAAACAAAAAATGCTATACATGCTAAAGGGACTTTATTTTGCTAAAATATTCTAATTTATTATCAAAATTTACTTTCTTGTCATTTTAGATAGATAAAATGGAAAGATTGGTTAATCCCGCTTGGCTCATTGTGGACCTTAAGTTAGATTTTATTAACTTTAGTTTTGAAAAGCTTCCTTCACATGAAACTTAATATTAAAAAAAAAATCATAGACACAGCGCTAGATTCAGAACAGATTCAGAACAGCCCAATTTTATGAGAAAAGCTCCAATGAATTACATTGCACCGCTTCTTGGGAAGAAGTATAATATATCCTGCAGAAAAATCATCGTAGATTTTTGTCACATTTTGAACTATTACACGAAGATCTTCATTTGGTGACGTTAGCAGAGTATAAGTCTGAACAACACTAAATGTTACGAGAATATCATTCATTGCTCTGCAGCGATGGTCTAGTTCCTTATAAAATCTGTCAAGACATTCTAACACAGTTCTCTGCAGCTCCTCTGGCAATGTTAGTTCAGCATATCGGGTCATTTCTCCTGGTAAACGTTTTCGAAATCTCCTCATTTCTCTTCTTCCTTCAATCGAAATGTCCACATTCTCACATTTTTTGTTACGTAGGTAATAGCTTTTTTCCACTAGTTGAATACGTTGGCTTTGAAGAAAAATTTTTGGGCTTTGATTTTTATCACATACTTTTCCAGTGATAATCCAGATTATTATTTAGTATTTACCTTTGTGTCTGACTAACATTCAGTGATAGCATAAAAAATTGAAGTAACACGAAGCTGGTACAAGCGTAGATGCTGCTTCTCTTGTATCGACGTTTGCTCTGTTGGTGCTGGGATCATATACAGGGTATTTTTGAAATGCTCCCGAAAACGAAGACAGACGACAATACCAACTATACCTTTGATGATGGGTGAAATATAAAATCGATCCTGATTAAAAAAAAATCATCTTTTCACAACGTTTTATCATTCTTTCTTTATTCATTCTCTATCATGTTAGTACAGCTAAATGAAACGATAATTTTATAAAAAAAATCATAAAAATACTTAAACATAAAACCAGCAGTAAAATTACTGAATTGATATCACCTGACTAGAGGTCAATTTACGCGCGAACGCAAATTCGCGCGGGCCACAACTAGCGGGCCATAACACAATACCTAATAATTTACAACACTTGTCTAAATACCTAACTTATCTACTTAACCTACTATTTTGCCACTGTACTTGTCTCCACGTAGCCACTTTAATCCGAATTTACAGGTTAAATAACCCAAATAACTGGTTCGATTTCCCGCTATTGAAAAAATACTTAAATGAAATGTAACCAAGGTTAGAGTCATGCGTTTTTATTCATCGTGTAGGTATGTTTATTATTTTCATGTATTCAGTTATGTACCTATTCAGATCAGTTCAGTACTAAGTTACTTAAAAAAATTAGGTATGAAACAGCTAACCGCTATAAATCCTCCGTGGTGACGTGCTCAATGAAACCAGGCACACGTTGTTGCTGGTCTAATAACCAACGGCAGAAAACTCGCCGGCGGTCGTGATCGCCGGGATCTAAAGCTTGCACTTTGTACACTTTGTATGGGCACATTCGGTTACGCTTTAACACTTTGTGAACTGTACAGTATGACACAATTGTTCCACCCCGACGCCTTAACAATTAAGCGATACTTCGTGAACCAAGGTTCGAGTTCCGGCGAACGACATCTAAAATGCGCTTCTCTGAGTGAACAGCCACTTGACGTCCACCTCCTGCCGCTACTAGAGCAACGGGCCGATTTTCCAACACTCGCTGTAAAACTGCTGTTGTCAGAGTCAGCTGGATGTCAAGCAGTCGGGAATTTCTCTCGGTAAATTCACAATGCATGCGAAGCTTTCCTGCGAGCTTCTTCAAGGCACATTAACATGTTGCCGTATTCACGAACACTATAAACGGATGCGTTAGGCATTATAAAAACAAAACAAGAAACTTAAAACGTAACAACAAGAATAATATCATTAAGTAATAAATAACAAGTAATAACGACAATAATTTAATAAACAAAACTATTGAACTGTCTCTTGTGATAGTCAACACGGAACTGTCTCAAAAACTAAAATTATTAATCAAACACGCTAAAACAAATGCGCACAATGTAAAGTCCTTGGAGCACTGGAACCTTCTACATACCGTTAAAGCGTTATGAATGTTAAGACATCGCCAACGTTTATTTAATTTATAAGTTTTATCACTACGACTAGTCTTCATATGGAATTTAAAAGTTATGGTTCATTTTTAATACAATTACACAATTAATTGTACCCTGACGTAACAAACAGTTCTTTACTACAAAAATTATTGAAATTAATAAACGTACCTAATTGGGTCCTCAGTACACACACAATTATAAACACTATTTCATCGTTATCTTTGATTTTCTATAAGAAAATAGAAATGAAAAATGAAACTAAAAAATGAAAATTCGTAACACCAATTTGATCGATAAATCGCTCAGTGCCCAGGTTCAAGGCCAGCGTTTTTACGTGACGGGACCTATAAGAGTTCGGCGCCTGCGAATATATTGACCCTATTGTCAGCTGACGATATTTTTAAATTTAACTGCTGGTTTTTTGTTTAAGTATTTTCATGATTTTTTTTTTATGAAATTATCGTTTCATTTAGCTGTACTAACATGATGGAGCGTGAATAAATTTAATAACGTTGTGAAAAGATGATTTTTTTCCTCGGGATGAAATTTATTTGTGACCCATATGCTAAGGTATAGTACCTACTATCATCTATCTTCGTTTTCGGGAGCGTTTCACAAACACCCGGTATATCTTCGAGTGTTTATACTAGTTTTTTTTTTAAATTATTCTGCAGTGGTTTAACAGCGTCATGTGAGCAATCCATCTTGTCTCTGAGAGTCTTTTGACGGATATGCCTACACTTTTCATTAGTCTCCCATTGGCGTGTGGATGATGAAAAGAACCTGTAAACTCTTTCTACTGTTCCTAAAAAAAGTTAAGCTTGAATTAACGCTCCCTAAGTGAGTGCACTCCACAAAGATTTAGCGAATGATTAGCACAAGGCGTTTTCTACGTGGTAGAGCCATGCTGCAGCTATATTAGTAGTATAATTCTAGCACAAATGGATCAGCTCGACCGGGGAAGGACCACGCTCTCACAAAATACCAGCGTAAAATAGCAGCTCAACACTGATGTGTTTCGTATGGTGAGTGTACAGAACTGGAGATCCTTTTTACTGGAAAAAAGGCATCCCATCTTAGTCCTCACCTGTGACAACGCATCTGCATTTTGATTCGCAAACAAGGATCAAAATGCAGATGCGTTGATAGATGTAGATGTCTATGGGCCACAGCAACCACTTACCATCCAGTGGATTGTGTGCTCGTTTGTCACCCTATCCTATTTTAAAAAAAACAATATATTCATTCAATTGACAACGTCAAATTTTAAAATAGTGTTATCATCTATAGCGTAAAATGCACCCCCTAGTTTTTAGGGAAAGAACATTCGTGTTTTAGTGTTTTTTTCCGTGTTACTTGATAATATGCGTAATTAAAATACAACATGGAATATCCCAACTATGACTAGCGGTAAAAAATGTAAGATTATCGTTCTAGCATGCGTCTAAAATATTACTTTAAGTCAATAACTGTCTAAACGTTGGGAATGTTTTTATTTTGCGTAATCATTTATTATTAATGTTTATTAAACTTAATTACGTCTGCCACCATAGTCTCCCTGAGTTGCAGGCTGTGTCAGTTGCAGGCCATTGATGTTGTTGAAGTCAAGCATCTTCAACACCTCCTTAGTATCAAGGTCAACCTCGATAATATCATGTTTAAGGGCAGATACTTCTGGAACATAGTTATCACGCCTCTCACGCTCTTCTTCTTGCAGTTTGATTGAAATACCTCTCATTTGTGAGTGTCTCAGACGTCTCATTAAATGGGTAGCAAATCTTGCGATCTTATTACGAAGGGGTTTGGTTGGGATTATAGCTATTTCCTTACATATCCTCTTGTTTGTATCAAAGTCAAGAGTTAATATGGTGTATTATTTTTCAATAATTTCAATTTATCAATGTTAGAAGGAAATAAAATACAAAACCCGGTGCCTCTCTTCCTAAGAAAAATAAGGAACGGTTACAATGTTCCAAGCGCTTACTCCCTGTGTTATTTTATAACCCCCTTGGGTTATCGCGAT